CACACACACACACACACACACACACACACACACACACACACACACACACACGCGCGCACATATATTGATGCACTGCACATGACAAATCGACATCGTTAACCAGGGATTTACTGCAAAGATATGCACACGGAGCAAGGCAGAGATTAGGAGCGCAGCGAGACATGTTACTGCTAGACATACCAAATAATTATTCACCTTTGCTTTGAAAAAATATCAAGGACACATTGTTCTTACAAACAGATAATAGCTATGAGTAGGAGTTTCAGGACTCAAAAATACAACAAGCAACAACTGGTTTGATATCTTGCTAAATATGTCATAATTTGTCATCAAACAGGAAAAGAACCCCCATCCCCGCCCCCCCCCCAAGAAAAAAAGCAAAAAACCTAAACAACAAACAAACAAACCATCCAAAAACCTGTTTAAAAAATCGATCAACTCAAAAAGCAAAATCTTTTTGGAGAAGTAAAAAAGCTATGCATCTTTACCTTTGATCGGTATATAGAGATGTGAGATTTGTGTCCATCCATCTGTTAGTTGTTGCGCATGTCTTTAGTAGAGGAGTATTACTGTCTAATCTCACCGGTCGTTGAAAAAACAAACTTAATTCATATCCTCTGTAGTCACACAAAACAGTCAAAATGTTTTAACACTCATAGTTTAATTTTCACAAATGGCAAACTTGAAATATTATACGTGTATCCCTTTTGCGTAACAAAACATCCAAAAACTGAATTATAAGTCAGTCGACCGTCCGAAAGCAGGAACCTGCATTCAGAGTTAGGAGAAATGGAAAATAAGAGTAAGCTACTTTTAATTCGGATTTAAACATAGATTTAAGAAGCTCACTTTTAAGACACGAGGAAAATCGAAAATGAAATTGTGACATCTGTCGAAAGGCACAATCACAAATTAATAATAATTAGTAGATTAAAGGTGAGGCCTCTCAAACGAACCACTAAAGATTAATTAATGGGATCAATAAGCTTCTTCGAATAGATACGTGCTCTATCTTTCTTCAATGAAATTACAGAGAGGCCCCCAGGATCAGTCAAAACCTAACGCTCCGAGGAATACAATACTGTCAGAGTGAACAATCCACACAACTAACACACAACACACACAAAAGAACAAGACAATGCAACTAGGCTAACATTCCCCACAGCACAACCCGACAACACAACTAAGAAATAATCCACACAGCATAATAACACGACATCACAACGCACAGCGAGCCTCAAAGGACGCCCAGGAGAGTCGAGGCTGTTCTGAGAAACGCTGCACGTCACACAAAGTAATGATCACTGCCCCGGGTCGCCCGTGGCTATGACAGTGAGAACGGGGTACGATATTACAGGCTGATCGAAGTGGACCAGGAAGAAATTTTATCCCGTTTGCAGGACGCATAATGTGCTGGACGGCCGGACGGACAGTCCTTACCGGAGCAATTTGTTCCTCTCTGTCCCCGCCATGTCAGGGCTGCGACCTGGTCCTCTCAAGGAGTTCTGCACTTTGTTTTGTCCACGCTAGTTACGGCTTTGGGAGTTCATTTGTGTTCTGGTGACACGCTTGTTGCAGGTTGCTCTTTTTTTTAATTTAAAAGGATTTGTGGTAGTGTCATTCGTTTTGCAAACAAGGAAACAAAGCAAACAAAAAATAAAAAACCCATCCCCTTAAAATAGCAACAACAATAACAACAGTAAAAGTAACAACAACAACAACAATAACAACAAAACAGCATAAAGACTACCACTTATGCCCAAACCAAACAAACAAAAAAATAATAATTAAAAAACCCAAACAAACAAAGTATCTATAAGGGTAGCAACATGAATTGAAATTAGAAAGCCAGCTGATATAGATGTCGCAACCCCCCC